CCAAATGTGAGATAGGAGACTTAGAAATTGGGATCATTTAAAACCTGGAAATGATAAAGATTAAACGTCAAACTTGAATATCAATGGCAAATTAAAGTTAAGAAAAACTTACTAGGTTATTGTCTAAAAGGTGGAATGTCAAATTAATTAAGATATGTATAAACTGAAGATTATTGATGAATATTAGAAAGGTATTTTTTGTTTGATTAATAGAATAAGAACTGTATTGGTTTGAACATGACAGTAGATATCATGGGGGAAAGAGAAGGAATTAGTTTGTTGTAATAATTTGAGATTGGTACTGATGATATTTAAATGTAATGGAATTACTGTGCTCAGCCGCCACGCTACTTTCCAAATATGTAAATGTAATATTGTAAAATTAATAAAAAACTTGAAACAGAAAAAAAATACTGACTTCCTACATAGGGACAACAGTGGTGTTGCCATAATATGACTAAGGCTTACTTTTTTCTTGTGGTGGAGTATTTATAGTACCCTTTCATTAAATGTTGGTATTACAGAAGAATAATTTCTTCCATAGTGCATGCAAGAAATCTATTGGTGTGTCATGAAAAATAACATAATTTATATTATTTAATATTTTTTTTTCTTCAGAAGAGCTCAAAGCAACATACATAATCCTATTATATACTTAAAACAACTCTGCAAGGTGAGAGACTCTGATTTGCCCAACTCGGTCTATAAAACCTGGATTGTTTCTCTAAACATTTTATGGCTGTGAATTTTTTCAATCAGAGTTTGCTGAAGCCAAATAATTTTTGCCATGTCTCTGTTTTGAGTTATTGGGTGTGATTGGATGACATGGGTATTACTGTGGCGTGAATGCCACTAAAATACTTTTTTTTTCTCAAAGAGGACATGTTTAGAACAATGGCTGACACAGAAATAGAGCAGAAAGGACACTTACACTCTCTAGAAGTAAAGCCTTTGGACTATGAAGGTAATGGATGTCTCCAAACATTAACTGTGAAAATTACTCCAAACTTTCACTCAGCTGAAAAGTTTCAGTCTCAATTGGCAGGAATACTATTGTATAGAAGTTTAAAATTAAGTCTTTTCTAAAAAAAAAAAAAATAAAAAAAAATCTGGCATTTAAAAGAAGCATCCTCACTCACAGGGAAGCTTCTGCTCACACATATAGGAAATGCCTCTTCTAATATCTGTTTAGCTGAACAAACTATTTACTCTAGTAGGCCACATGTGGTCAGTCAGTTAGTAGAGAAAAGATTCATAGCCTAGATTTTTGTTAAGGAATTTTGAGGATCTGGGGGCTTAATGGATAAATTTTCTGACAACAATATCCCCAGTGATTAGGATAATTAATTGGTCCTAGTTTTGGGTGAGCAAGGTTTCAAAAGGATATAAAGGATACATTCAGCCTTCAGATATGTCTTCATATATAAGACCCAGTAGTCCCAAAGATGCTTTTTCAAAAAGCAACTGGACTTTCTTGTTTTTTTCTTGAAGATGTTTCACTTCTCATCCAAGAAGCTTTTTCAGTTCTGGCTGAATGGTGGTAAATGGAAGGATTTATATATCTTAGATGTCATCTAGTCATTAGCACTCTGAAGGACTTTTAGCAGTCCCAAGACCCATTTGCACTCTGATTTAATGTGTGCCAATGTGCCCACAGTAAAAAAAAAATGACAATAAAGGTTATCTATCTATTCTATTCAGGTGACCCTGAAGGTATTGAAAAACCCGCAAGTAGCCTCAAGGATTCTCAGAGAGCAAGCTAATAACTGACCTTCAGAGTGGTAACAACCAAATGACTGCTAATGTCTATAAACCCTTCCATTCCCTAGCATTCAGCCAGAACTGAAGAAGCTTTTTGGATGAGAAGTGAAACATCTTCAAGAAAAGCCAAGAATGTCCAGTTGCCTTTTGAAAAAGCACCTTTGGGATAACCATGACCTGGTTGATTGAGAATCCCCGTAGACATTAGACCTAGTGTCGTGCCCTGCAAGGCCTAGTCGCATTCAGCCTGGTCGGAGTTGACACTAGTTCACCACCTGGCAAGGCCTTGATTACCTGCTCCTAATGCGTTGCTGCTCCGAGTGTCGCTGCTATTGGTCTCCTGTCAGGGATCACCATCATGAAGCGCCTGCCTAGGATGACATCATCAAGGTGCGCCTGGCTATTATGATGTCAGCAAGGCATGCTTGGCTGTGATGATGTCATCAAGGCGCGGCGGGCCGCAACGAAGGGCCTCGGCTGCAGAGAAGGGCCTCGGAGAACGCCTCACCGGGCTGACAATCTTCTATGTGAAACCAGCCAGTTTCAAGGGGCCGCAACGAGTCGGTGGGCCGCAGCAGGCAGCGGGCAGTGTCCGGACCTATTGGTGGTCTACACGTTCCTGTTTACTGGCTTACTTGCTGAGAAGCTCAAATAGGACGGTTTGACACCTAATAGTTACTGTTCATGCAGGAACTTACTGTAAAATAACATTTACATTTAAAATATGATCCAAAGAGAAACCAGAGTATTTTATTATTTTTAAAGTGGGCCCTATTTATGAAATCCACTGAAGTCAATGGATTTGATAGCTATTAATCAAAACCTACATTCCTGATAATATATTTCTCTTTCTGTCACCATATTTTTAACTCTGGGCAGAAAAACACTTTCACACCACTTAGGAATCTTATTTTTACCCTCCACAATCCCCTCACCAACCCTCCCTCCTTTATGGGCCTTTTGGCAGGCAAGCTTTAACTTTCAGGCTGAGCAGGTTGCATTTACTTCTTTTTAAAAATGTATTACGTAGCGTAGTGCAAAAGCAAAAGGATGGTGATGGGAAAAAAAACAATAAAGCTCCAATCCAATTTTAAATTCCAGCTCAACTAAACACTCAAATTAACTTTTGTCAGCTCCCATCTGCAATAGTAGAATAATTATATTCAAGAATTATATTAATAATGTATGCAAAATACTCTGAACATCATAAAATGCAAATAAAAGTATTGCCATGAATTTTGAGTTAATAAATGGGTAATATTTCTGCTTTGCTTCCATAGTCAATAATACAGAAAGGAGTGTTTATAATATTTAAAGAAGAAACAAGAATACTGGTAGACATATTGGAGAAAAACCTGGGTTTAAATCCGGGTTTAATAGTTAGCTCTAGTCTAAAGTTTATAAAAAGATTTCAATTTGTAATCTTTAAACTTCAAGAGCTTCTTATGGCAGGCTATATCCTAAAAAACCCTACACCCAATTGGCAAAATCTAATTCTAATCTCATCGATAACACACAATAATGTCTGTTATATAAAATAAAAATAAAAGCAGAGTCCAGCTTCCTTTCAGGGTCTCTTCCAGATGTGAAGACTGCAACTCCCAGAATTTTGCACCCAGCATGACCTTTGCTAGGAATTAATTTAGAAGGAGCCCATGATGAGGAAGGAAGGCATCATGTTTAAGACTGAAACTGGATTCAGCAGTCAAGAGAACTTCAAACCAAAAAGCTCTAAAGGTGCTTGAAAGGAAGGCTCATAACCTGGGTGTCACAGCATAAAAGTTTGCTGAGTGACATCATAGCCAATTGAGCTAACTGAAAGTAGTCCCGGAATAATAGAGGAAAGAAAGTACATACGAGATAATACAGGTTTTTAAATATTCTGGCTCAACTGACTTTATATTTATCAGCAACATCTTGAATTCACCTTGGAAATTATTTTAAATTAGCATAAAGTCAAGGACTGCTAAAGTCAACAGCCTGACAGGGTTGCAAAAATGGTGAGTGTAATTTCAGGCTACATCTACAGACGTATGGATTCCAAATTACATGTGAGTATTATTCTATTTTATACTAAGTTAGTTGCCTTGGAAAATGGATTCCATTTTGGTACTAAGGTACCTTGTAAGAACTCTGAGAGTTTAGAATATGCTCAGAGGAAAGCAACAAGGATGATCCAGGATAGGAAAGTGAATTCTGTGGAGATGTTTGAGAGACCTTGAGATGTTTCATCTTCAGAAAAAAGACTAGGGATCATGTACCATTCTCAGGTACTTAAAAGGATATCAAATATAAGAGGGGCTACAGAACAGTGTATTTAAGAAAGAAGAATATTTTCTTAACATTCAACAATTTAGGGGGGGGGAATTCTTAAATAGTGCAATTCATCAGAGGAACCTGTGGTGGACTTTCCGTCACTAGAAGTGTTTATTTTATTCATTAGAATTTTATGTTATTATTATTATTTTACATAAGGTACAACTCAGGGCAGTGAACATATCTAATTCTCCTTCCTCTTCCTATTTTCCCCATGACTATCCTATGAGGCAAGTTGGGCTGAGAGAGAGACAGTGTGTGTGACTGGCCTAAAGTCACCCAGCTAACCTTCATACCTAAGGCAGGACTAGAACTCACAGTCTCCTAATATCTAGGCCAGCGCTTTAACCATTTCACCAGGTTCAAACAGAAGGACCTGGATGCTTGTACTTGGATTCTTGCCCAGAGTTGGAGACTGAGCCCCCTGCCCTAATGGCCCTCTTTCCTCCCTTTCTACAAAAACTAATTGTAAATCAAATCACAGGCTTGACCGTTCAAGTCAGCTTTTCTAGAGTGCGCCTACCTACAAGGCTTCAACCAAGGGTCTATTTTAGCACCTGCGCCATTTGATTTCTATATCCATGATAAGGTGGCCGAGCTCCTAGAAGCAATCTTTCCCCAAATGTGCAAAAATAAAAAAAAATCTGGGGATCAGTGACTTTAAACCCGGGAGTATGGGTAGTAACCGAGAGACTGAGGGCGGAGGAGATAAATCTACCTCTTAAAGGCATAGGCAACGAACACACAAATGCCTGAACACACTTAGTTGTTGGCCGGATAAGGACTTGCTGGAGCGATTCCCCCCCCCCCGCCCGCCAAGAAAGCCAGTCTTTGTCACCCATTCAGACAAGCGCGGGAGGAGGGGGGTCCTTCCACAAAGACCTCCCCCTCGTCCCTCCCATCTCATTCACTTGCAAATCGCCGGGTGCCTGGAAGAGGCGATTTCTCTTTCCCCCCAGCCTTTAACCTTCCTCTCGGAGGCTGCAGTTCTAAGCGGCGCGGCCGAGAGAGCAGCAGCAGCCGCCGCCGCAGCAGCAGCAGCAGCAACGGGAGCGTCCAGTAGCTGCGCGTCTGCAAGGGACCGGGCGAGGGATCGTGCCCCTCTTCTTCTTCTTCCTCCTCCTCCTCCTTATTCTCTTCTTGTTCGCCTTCCTCGTATTCTTCTCCCCTTCAGAGCCTGGCGAGGGCTGAGTGGGCATTGCATCGAACCCGCCCCCCTCCCCAGAGCCCTCTGCCTTGGCTCCCCCTCCTTCCTTCCCCCCCCCCCCACTAAAGGCAGAGTTGTAAAAGGGATGCTGGGCGAGCAAGAGACGGAAGAGCCCCGGTCCAAGAAAGTCGCCGCCGCACCATCAGCCGCCGCAGGAGCAGAGGAGGCGGAGAAAGGCAGCCGGAGTAGCGGCGCCGTTGCCACCGACGCCTGGCCGCGTTTCCTGCCCGGCTTTGTAAACTGAGAGGCTCAAAACCATCCTTCGCCTGCGCTTCCCCACGGTAAGGCTGGGACAAGCTGAGGCTTTGAGCTTCGGGAAAGCCGCCGCCGTCGCCCCCCCCCCCCAGGTCCGCGGGAAACCTGCCGGCAAAGTGGCTCCTCTTCCCTTTGGGGTGGCGTCGGCTTCTCTCTTTCTCTCTCTCTCTCTCTCTCTCTCTCACGCCGTCTCGCTCCTCTCTCTCTCTCTCTCTCTCTCTCTCCCTGTTTATTTGTTTGTTTGTTTGGGCTGCCGTAAAAGCTCAGCCCTTCCTGGTTGTTTGCAAAAGTTGGCAGGTCCGTTAGTCGGGGGGGGGGGGGAGCAGACGAGGAGCCGGGATTCGCGCACTGGCAACGCAACGCTCTGGAAAGCTGGGGAAAGGCAGCGCGCCTGCTTGGCGCACGGATAGGGTGGCAATTGGATGCGCGAAATTAATGGGCTCGTTAGGAGGAGTGCGGTCCCCGTCGCCTTAAGTAGAGGAGTCGGATGCCTTTGCCTGACTGCCGTTTGCGAAGCCGGCCGGATCCCGAGAAGCTCCCAAAAGCCTCCTCTTTTTTGCTGGCTTTTTTTTTTTCTTCAAAGAAAAAAACTTCTCCGGAGATCTGATTTATTTTTTTTTCCCCCTCTTCTGGGCCGAGGAAAGAAGGAGAGCCGGTGGTAAGGTTGCTGATTTAGAATGGATGCGCGGCTGAAAGAAAAGGTTTTCTGTTAGGAAGAGCTGGGAGGGAGGGAGGGAGGGAGGGAGGGGGAGAGAGAGAAAGAGAGAGAGAGAGAGAGAGAGAGAGAGAGAAATTGCTGAAGCCAGCGGCTAAACTACAACACCTCGTGCAGGTTAAACGGAGGAAAACATGGGGGGGGGAGATGTATAGATGGGCACTGAGGGATTCTAGAAAATGTTAGGGTGAGACAAAAATCTAGATATTGAAACGCAGTCTGTGTGTGTTTGTCTGTGTGTGTGTGTGTGTGTGTGTGTGTGTGTGTGAGTGTTTTAATTCAAAGGCTGGAGGAATTGCGGGATAGGTAAATGGCCCCGAGGTCAGCGGTTATGAATGAGGTCTTGACAGTGCTGCAATAAAATCCATATTTTATGGAGAGTTAAATGCAGCGCTTTGGAAGTGCAATTGGATAGTCGTAGATACGGTAACTCCTGATGACATTCAAGGATCATCATGAAGTGTAATGGCTAAGATTACACTCCGCTCAGAAGCACATCTGCTGCCTTTAACCAGAAAGGGATCAAGAGCACATCTGCTGTTCCTCCTCCAGAGATACACCAAAGAGGTCAAGGGATGTTTCTTTATGGCCCCTATTAAAGTTTTTTCTGGCTTCACATGGGAGAGAGAGGGAGACAGATGCTTTAGACCTTTTTCTAAGAGCGAGCCAAACTGCATGACTGAAAAGCAAATATCTTTAAACAGAACCAGTGTAGTTTTCCAGTCGGTTACTCAAGAAAAAATAGTTTGCTGGGTCATGCATTTATGGTGGAATCAGCAAATTACTCCGTAGATGAAACAACATTCCCACATGGTTCTTGCTTGCTGCGTTAAAAGTTCTGAGCAAGACATGCTTTATATTATGTGCAGATATGTCTGCAAATTTACATGAAAAAAAACGGTGCTAGATGTGGGATTACATTAAAGATATTTGCATATACTGTAGAAGCACCCACATGCAAATATTTCCCTGCCTTGCTTTTTTAGAGAGTTACTACAGAGGAGGTACAGTGGGAAAGTATTTGGTGGAAATGTGCATCTCTGAGCTTGCCAGATAAAAAATCCCCAGTCTTGCTCTCTGCAGGAGCTTTCTTTGGAGGTTGCGATGGCGCTGCCCTAAATCTGTGCCTTGAACTTTAAATGTTCTAGCAAATTGATTGAGAACTCCCTCTTCCTCTGACATGACAAGAATGATTGAGGACGTCAGCGTCTCCCTTCCCCCCCCCATGTCTTGCCTCTTTGTTTTTGAAGGGCACATCTTTTCCTTGGGAAGCAGGATGGGGAATCTGCAGACGAGCCTTGCTCTTCACTGTTTCTCTTTTAAGATACAAATGCGGATCTCTGTCCAGTTGCCACAGTGAGAGGAAGTGATTGAATGTGCTAATAAACAGCGGCAGGTCCCGAATCGCTTCCCACTGATTTTATCCCAGCCTTTGTCTGTTTCCTGGCATGTTTAGCCAGGCTTTTCTGCCCCCAGTTTTGAGCAATTGGCAACCCTAGTCCCTAGTTGTTCAGATACGAGAAGCAGAGGAGAGGTTCTTAAAAGCAAGTCAGTACTATTCAGATTGAAGGTAGCTTCAATCTTCTGCAGCCATTTGAGGGCTTTGGAAGTGTCCCCTTTAGGGATTAAAGTCCCGTTTCCTATTGATAATAGTTTTCACACTTGTGAAAAGGCTAGCCTATTCTAGATTGTGCTGATTAAAGATCTTTCAATGTGTGCAGTGAGAGCAAATCTCTTGCAGCCGAAAATTCTTCATCCCAATGGAGAGAAAGGTTAGAGCATTAAAAGATGAGGCACCAAAACCAGTACCAAGGAACCTATTGAAGATGTATCCCAGTTCCCTTTGCACGTGCATAGAATGAGTATCAGAAACTTGTATGAAAGTTTGAACAAATGTTTCACCAAAATGTTTTGCTTTTTTTGAAGAATTTTTCCCTCCTCATAACCTGCCTGTTCATATTTTGGGATGGAAATTTAAGGAGACCTCCCTTCCCAGTTAATTGTGATGCTGCAAATCTTGAACACATTTTATTTCATCATTTATTTTATGTATGTGATGTGTGTGTGTGTGTAGGGGGGAAGAGGGGGGGAGAGATAATCCAATATAGGTATATTTTAATGCCATGTTCTAATATTAAAGCTTATTTAGATAGCAACTTTGTTATGGAAGTTTATGAAATTTGAAGCAGCTAGCAAAACTGAAATTAATCCATTGGTCACAGCATTAACCTCACTGCCAAACCAAGCTTTAAATCATGATTTATGATCGTGCATTGGCATAAACATTAACCTGCCACGTTGCAATGATTCTGATGTGAGAAATTAACAACGTTGCCACTAAAGATTAGTAGAGTCAGGCTCCGATGTGAATTTTCTTTATATTTATTTATCAGGTGGGCATTGATATTTATTCATTTATTGATATGGATTTTCTTTATTTTCTTTGTTTATTGTTAGCCCACTTTTATTACTTTATAAGTAACTCAAGGCGGTGAACATACCTACTGCTTGCAGACCAGCTGTTTTGACTATGGTCTCAAAGCAGGCATAGTACACTTCATAAAGTGGAAGGAACACAATGGTTGCATTTGTGAGTTCACTTAAGCTATTTGACTTAGATTTGCACTTTGAATAAATGTTCTCCCTAATCTGTAAAATAATGGAAAAACAAAAGAGGGTTCTTATGTCTTGCCCTTTGGGATTACTGTTGGATACCAATCTAGTCTTCTATGTAGTTTTTTAAATAAAATTTGAGAAGGAAGCACTCTTGATGTGACTAGGATTCTACTGCTAATGTTCCCTTGGAGAACATATCTGTAGTTTTATGTATAAACACCTGAATGAGCAATCCTGTGGATTAGTAAACCAGTTTTCCTGTTGACTCAGTGCGTAAGTCAACTTGCACTTTATGGCTTTCAAATCTGAAAGGTTTTTAACTATTGGAATTTGACAGAATGAGATTTTCTTTCCTTATTGGCTTCTGTCTTGGAACCTTTCTCTGACTGAAGTGGGGATGTGAGGGTAGTGTGTGTGTGTATGTGTGTGTGCATGTTTGTGTGTGTGTGTGTTTTGACAAGAAATTAGTTCTAATTCAGGACCTGTAGATCTACCTCGTCTACAAAAAATGGTGTAAGAACAGATTATCAATACTTTTCCAAGCCTTTCTGTCCTCTGAATTATGAATCTTACAGGCAAAGAATCTATCCATTGCAAAGAATTCTTTAAAAATGTAATGGTAACATTTTCATCAAGATATTTTACTGGATTGCTAATTTTGAGCTAGGTTCTCAGTCTTGGTCATTTGCTTTTGAGAAAGATACCTTATCTGATCTTGATTAAATTATTTAGCATAATTTTCTTTTAAAACAATAAGAAGCTTCAGTATATGGACATGTCATTGAGTTCTGAAATGTCATGTTTATGCTTAGAGGTCAGCAAGTTTCATACAATTGTTGATCTTGGCCCACCTAGATATTTTTATTTAAATGGGTATAGAAGGAAGAACTACCAAATCAAAGTTATGAACATTTGCAATTGAATGTTGGTGGAAGGTGAAATTCATCTGACTTTTGCCATGGTGCTAGTTCTCTGGAAAAAGGATATTGACTTCATATTTCAATACAACTTGGAAGGCAAAATCAGAAAACTACATGTGAATTGAAATAGGTTATATGAGAAATGTTTATATATGGGAATGAATTATATTAACTATGCATGATTTATTTGATATTTTGGTATGTTTGTCCTGACCTACCTCCTTTTTGTCTCAGCTCCACCCACATTTTGAAGAATGAACTTCGGGATACCATTTATGGTTCTTAGATCAGGAACCTGCTATATGTTCTTAAAATAAAACCCAGAAAGCCAACTCAATTTAAAAACACACAATTTCTTAGTATCCAACAGATCCTTAACACAATAGTTGATATTTCTCTCTCTCTCTTTATCACACCACACATACACACGCACACACATTGTGTATATATACATACACACACATACAGTTTATATACAGTATATATATTTTCTAGGAACATTTCCAAATTAAGAGTCTTGTTTTTTCAGCTGTCCCCAAATATTCAAACTATTCCTTTCATGTAAGGTGAAGATTATTTTGAAGGTATCCTATGTTCTGTGCATTGATCCAATAAGTATCAGTTGGTCCTATATTTGTCCCAGAGACTATGAAATCCTAATGTAGTCAGCATGAATATTTAAGTTCCATGCATGTCATCTAGCAATAGATTCTCTTGGCATTTCAGATGCTTACAGATCTATTATGGGATGTTATGATAATATCAGTCAATGTGC